GGGGGGGTTGGACCCCCTCCTGCGGTTCCTGCCTGAGGTATTTTTATCGCGAGAAGGGTACAGCAATCCGTTCCGTCGCGACTTATGAAGTCGATCAAGTTTACTGTAGCAACGAGCTTTGCAGCGCGTCGCTTCCAACGGAGACCAGGATTAAAAAAGAAGATAGCGCCCGCACTAATAACATAGCAGTTAAGAAATTGAGACTCGAAAAATCAGAAGCTAATAACTTGAGCACCATTTGAAAGCCCGGTTAAGAACCCCTGCACTGAACCTATATTGTGGCGATTTGTAGCCCACAAGAGGATGATCAGCAACAGTCTAAGAACCCCAGCCTCGGCCGAAACTAGAGGTTCTTAAGTGCGGGCGCCATTTGTAGCGAGAAAAAAATCACTCTGTCGGGACTCGGATCCATGACCTGGCCCTTGGCAGGCTGCGAGGCTACCCACTAGACCACCGGGGCGACCGGTATGTACGCGGCGTGTGTCATACGAATAATCATACGTATGTAATCTGCATGCGTTATGCATACGAACGGAAGAGAGAGCGGGTCACGCTGGATAGTCTATATCTCTGTATCCACTATCCGTGCAAAATCATTGGTTGATGTCATCACCCCCCCAACAAACGCTCAACAAGCGGGGGCGACATGCGCCGACACAAGGGGCTGTTCACCCGTCACTTCACACCACAGCCCGGCCGCAGGAGGTGATCGGGATGGTATCCACGAAAGTTTTAAGTTCCGTTGACCAAGAGGCAGAGGGGTGGAGAACAAAATGCACGCATGAGTGTGGATGGAAACCACGAGTCCAACTCATTTTTTTCAAACGACCGTATCGTGCGTTGCCACAAGCATGCCTAGAGCAGCTGTGCAAGAGAGCAAACGCCGGATGACGAACGTACTTGTTCGCATCTGCTCTCCGCGGAATCTATGTTTTACTTCGTACCAGGAGACTTGTTGTAGCACATACTCTACGTGTACGGGTAGCAGACAGTCATTTTCCGGGGTCGGGGTAACGGTCGTCCACAACTTCGGGACATGAACCACACAACAGCGCTAGACTAGACTACAGGAGTACAATACACACTTTCCCCACCTATACCCCACGCCCATCCTTCTCACGCCGCGCCACGAACGAACCTCGGCAATCACGCGGGGCTGGTTCCACTTCTTGACGATCTGGCCCAGCACGAAGCACATCGACACGACCAGCACAATCTGCACAAGGTAAAGTTGAACATGGGAATGGACAGGGGTGTATCCTTGAACAACCCCTCCCCGATCGCCGCCCTCGAGGTCCACCAGGCCTTCCCTTGCGTGCTCCATCTCGTCCCTTCTTGTCCAAGCTCGACTTGTGCAGTTGAAGGAGCTCTCGCTGTAAGCAGAGTGTGCGTGTGAGGCGCGAGGTGGGCTCGTGGCTGGGTTCGTCGCGAAGGCAAGGGATTTGCCTGTTGCGCACGGAATGCCGGCTCAGCGACCGTGGGTAGGGCAACCCGGGAACGATTTACATTTATTTCGCGCGAAGCGCGAAAAAAATACGAAAAGGCGTATTCGAATGACGCGTCTTTTCATTGTCTTAAAGTTTGACAGAAGGAATCCATGTGTGGATATTCAGTGCCAGAGGTTGCGGGTTCAATCCCCCTCAGCGCCAACCTTTGTCTACACCTTCCTTTTTTTCCCGATTTTTCTTCACGATGGGAGAGCCATCACCACCTATTGTGTTCCGAATGCCGTGTGATGTAGGGTCCCACAGATGGGAAATCGCGGAAAAGCACCCACCCTTGTCGGTCGCCGAGGCACGAATTTAGTGTACACGTCGCCGACAAGATCTGATCTTGGATCTTTCAGGGATCCTTCATGTGAGGTACCGACACACAGCAGCGGCACGTGGTTGGTACATTTGAAATTGACGATCGCAGGCGGCAGCTCACGGTAACTTGCAATATTTCGTATTGTCGCACGTGACCGGACGACTTGGCGCTATTTTTCGTTCGTTTTCACCTTTTTTTTCGCGACACCACGAAGTTCGTTTGTTTTGTCCAGCATGTAGTTCTATGTGTGGGCAAGCGAAGGTGTTCAAGCGAAGGTTTTGGATAGAGATTGAACCAAATATCAATAACAAATACAACAAGGCATCGTTTGAGTCTCTTTTCGTTTGGTTCATCGCTCACATGAAAGCATTTCCCCTAGAGATCCAATTCGTGGTCACACAAAAGGGTGTCTAGACTGCGTACGAAGCTGTAAGAGATGTTCGAGATAATGCCGGCCGCACCCCTCCTTCCTTCCTAGTGCCTGCTGAGGATCGACTTGGTCGTGCCTCTATGCGTTCTTGAAAAAAAAAACGCTGACCACACACAAACCGGTCCTTACACGTACCTCGGACGTACCATCTCCGCGGACGGGAAGGCCGACCGGGAGATCACGAGCCGCTGCTGCCGAGCGTGGAAGTGCTACCGCCGGAACAGTGCTTCGATGTGCGACAGGCGACGGGCCGACCGCCAGCTCAAGATCCGGGCACTCCAGGCTGAAGTGGTGGCGACTCTCCTATATGGGTGCGCCTCGTGGAGCCTAACAGGGGAGCACTACACGAAGCTCAATGGGACCCACCGCCAGTTCCTTACACGGTGCATCGGCTGGAGCAAGCGGAAACGCTCAGACCGCCCCCTGTCCTATGCCCAGGCCCTCATCCAGGCAGGCTGCGAGGAAACCATCGAGGCCATCGTGTGCAAACGGAAACTGTGTTTCGCGGGCTTTGTAACGCGCATGGAGGACAACCGCCTCCCCAAGCGCATGCTGCAAGGAGCGATGGCGGGAGGCGTGGGATACCGGGGCGGGCAGGAGAGCGACTGGGTGTCTCGTCTAGGAGAGGACCTCGTGGCCTTCAACATGGGAGACGAAAAGGAAGGGGGGAAATGGAAAGAGAGCGCCAAGAACTCGGAGGTGTGGTACAACAAGGTCGAGGACGGGGCGGCATGGTTCATGAGGAAATGGCACAGGCAGGAGGCGGAAGCGTCCGCGAAGCGCCAGCGCGCGAGGGAAGCAGACGCAGAGAGTGCGGCCATCTCAGGACCGAGGAGAAAGAAAGTCGGGGAAGCGGCGGTGGGGTGTGTAACATAAAGTTACACCACTAGTCTAGACTAGTCAGCGCTGACTATGCAAATGATTTAACGTATGGCGACAAAGTATACACGCACGAGTTCGAATACCGGCTGGATTACTTTTCATTACAAGAAGAAAAAAGTGCATCTACAACTATCAGCGCCTGGCGAGGGGTCCGGCCCCGGAGATCCCTGCTCTCAATAAGCTCTAGGCCCACGTGATCCAGCCGGGTGCTGACGAGCCGAGCGTAGTCTATATCTTCTGTAAGATAAAGTTACACCATTAGACTAGTCAGCGGACTAGTCAGCGCTGACTAGTCTAATGGTGTAACTTTATCTTACAAGATGTGACAAGTTTGGCGCCGACCTTAACAAGTCCGTGCCAGTGAAAAACCTGGGAGAGTTGAGATGGTATTCTGGGTGTAAGACCTCGGAGATCCCTGCCGGTGAATCCACACAGCATATCTTTTGTAAGATCAAGTTACAACATTAGTCTAGACTAGTCAGCGCTGACTAGTCTAACGGTGTAACTTTATCTTACAGGGTGCAAGAATCGGCGACCGGGCACTGCTGTAGAAGCGAGTAGGNTTAGACTAGTCAGCGGACTAGTCAGCGCTGACTAGTCTAATGGTGTAACTTTATCTTACAAGATGTGACAAGTTTGGCGCCGACCTTAACAAGTCCGTGCCAGTGAAAAACCTGGGAGAGTTGAGATGGTATTCTGGGTGTAAGACCTCGGAGATCCCTGCCGGTGAATCCACACAGCATATCTTTTGTAAGATCAAGTTACAACATTAGTCTAGACTAGTCAGCGCTGACTAGTCTAACGGTGTAACTTTATCTTACAGGGTGCAAGAATCGGCGACCGGGCACTGCTGTAGAAGCGAGTAGGTAGGGCGGCCAAGGCAGCACTTGTGGCGAACTATGTACCCGGCTGATGTTGTCGAACCCTGTTTCCCTCCCTGCTGTGCGCTATACTCCTTTAATGTATGTCTTTTGTATTGCTTTCGGCCTGTGCTGTTTCTTTTTTCATGACCTCCCTGCCTAGAATACTCTGCTGTGTTAGGTACCTTGATCTCGCTCTTGCTTTCGTTTTTGCACGTCTGGCTGTCTGCACATCTGCCGGCTCTTTGTCCTGTTTGCTCCGTTAAGCCCATGCCTTGTTGCGTAGTGCCTGGTGCTGGTACGTTACCTTTTGATTTTTTCTTTAGGCGGGTGTGGGAAGCGTCCCACTTTATTTTTATTTTTGTTTTATTTTGATCGGTTGCCGAGGGCTTCTTTCTCGAACGGTGGGTGCGGTACCGGTTATTTTCTGTTTTATCGTTTTGTCTTCTTTTTCTGAGTGGTTTGTACCCATTTTTGTTTTGTTTCCCCGCGGCGTCGGATGTGCCGGGTTTTGATACCACGGGCTCCCCATTTTTTGTGGACTAGTCTATAGAGCTAATGTGAGAAACAACAACAACAACGCAATAGCGTAGGAACATTTACACCTCGAGACCCGCGGTACAGCAGTCCCAACTTCGGTTCCTGAAACTGTCTTGTAGCATAAGAAGAAGAGAGCGACAACAGCAGTGCAAGAAGCTCGTATCAGGCCATCTCATGGAGCGTGGGGACACACGAAGAGTTCACGACCAAGAAGGACGCACGAAACACAGCTGGTACATATGTAGTGACTTGCCGCTACCAGTTTCAGCAGGTGGCCTTGGAGAGTCCCTTCACGAGGGGGGTTTGTTGCTGTCCAATGACCAGCAACGTGCGAACACTCTCGTTCACTGTTGCGGGCGATGTTCCTTCCGCCAAGCTGGTCCCCAATCGCCCCTCCCTACGATATGGCGATTTCAACCTCAAGCGAAGGACTAGCGGGCCGTGCGAGGGGTGCTATGATGGCTTCTTCGAGATGAACGATAGTTAGCTTTGGTGGGGTCATCTCTGGCCAGCGTGGCGCACGTTCTTCCCAAGCCTGCAAGACGAACCACGAGAGAGAGCGAGAGCGAGAGAGGGGAGAGAGAGGGGAGAGAGAGGGGGAGAGCGAACGAGAGAAAGACATAGAGAGAAATAGAGAGAGAGGAAGGAGAGAGAGAGAGAAAGAGAGAGAGAGAGAGAGAGAGAGAGAGAGAGAGAGAGAGAGAGAGAGAGAG